CTTGGGGCCCCGGGGCCGAGCCAGGGGGCGGTCTCAAAGGCTTATTCAGCCCCTCTCCTCCGGACCCCAGCTGTCCCCCCCAGTGCTGGGTGGGAATAAGGCCCCATTGAGAAGGCTGATCCAGGAAACAGCCTGCCACTGTACACCCCTGGGGTCCGGTTTCACTCCCAGAACCGCAAGGGCCGGGTTCGTGGGCCGAGCATCACCTACACAGCAATCAAGCGGTGAACAAAACCGTGGCAATATGACGCGGCATCATCTCAGCCTACAGTACCCCGTCGCTGTTCCGCTACAGAACAAACAGGCAGCCCACCTGTTCCTCTTTTCCCACTCAAAAAAAATAATAACTTTTCCGCTTCAGCAAGGCCACATACAAAGGCTGAAAACAGAGTATTTAGGTTTTATACACCCGGACAACACAATATCAGCACTATAAAGCCTCCTGAAAGCTGGTAAAACTGTCTAAACTGAGCCAGATGGGAGGAACAGGGGAGCTCTGCTCCATGCCGAGAACGACCACAGGAACCGCAAGTGATTCAAGATCAAGATGGGTTTTAATTCTCTGAGATTAGCACTTAATTGAGACCCTTTTCCGGTAGGTTGGATCTCTCAGAGAAATGGGGCATGGCAGGACTTGTTACGCAACACCACTACAGCAGTATCAGGAAAAAAAATGAATAAAAAGACAAGTGATATTAGGAGAGCAGGGGCGGCACACGAAAGCCCTAACCTGATTCATACACCAGGGGCAACTGATCACTCAGTTCAGCAACCTATCCGGTTCTGCATTCGTGTGACCTCACCTGGCCACCTGGTCCCAACGGCAAACAAGTTCTGGCAAACATGGCAGTTCCTGAATGCTAATCTGCTACATGGTGATAGCGGGAGAGACTACATCTCCTACAGGTAAAAGCCGTCTGATCCAGATATTCCACGACCCTCATATGCCCCGCACTGGCCCAACACAGGAATCTGAGATAAGCCTGCAGCCAGAGCTTAGCGGGATATTATCTGTTAGCCTCAGTATCCCATCTTGGTTAGCCTGCCGCTCCAGGTGCACTTCTGCTGGGTGGCCTGGTCGTACCCGGACTCCCTCGGCACGTTTACCACTTCTGCGTTCCCCTGGCAAATCATAGCAGAGAGCTTCCCCTTGGACATCGCCGACCTCAAAGAACGTTCCAGAAAATTTCATGGGATGATAAAAATAACCAATAACGGTCACTGTACTTTACAAGAAGCAGCAGGAGACCTCCAGTGCACTGTGATCCATGTGTTGTGTCTTTCACATCTACAGCAGGAACAGCCGAGAAGTGTGTTGGGGGGGAGGGGGGGGGGGTAACTGGGGGGTTCCTTCTGACGTATGCAGGGGGGAAGTGGGGACAGTGGTTTCCATGGCAACCCTGAGCAAGACTTGGAGCGACGTGAGGGAGCGAACTGGTGGGCGCTGTCCTCGGGCTATCAGAAGAGGGAGAGGGGGGTGGGAGCCAGGATTTTGGATGGAGTTGATAGGAATGTGTGGCTGCTGGCCATTGGATATCCCCACAAGATGACGAGAAAGATGAGTATGGGCACAACAGAAGGAAACAAGGAGGCCATGAGCTTGGCGTCGCACCCCTTAAATTCAAATTGAATAAAGGTCTTTCCTGCAGGCATGGCCCTGGAGGCTGCGGGGCTATCTTCATAACACTGGGTGGCCCAGATCCAATACAGCTGCCATAAATAATTTAGAAATTGGGTGAGGACGATTATCATCATCATCAATGTCATCAATCAATCTGACACCCATAAACAGGGAGAGGCAATGAGATCCTTCTGGGAGGCAGGATGAGACTGATGCCCACGCAGAGGGGATAAATACTGGCAGCGCGGGAAAGCTGACCTCAGCTTGGGAGTGAAATCTCCGTCAGCACCACTCAGCGAGAGAGTGCAGTCAAGCTCCCCATTAGTGTGCCCCTGCCACCTTCCCTTCTCGTAGATCATGTCACACTCTCCACTAAAAACGCACATCGCTAAATCTCCGTCGCCTTTCCTCCCACCTTCCACGATGCTGGCCTTCCTACGGAGTCAATATACGTAAAGCCATCACAGTGAGGCATTTACACGGAAAGGGAGAGAGCAACTGGGGCGGGATTCCGTACCCCATAAGCTTTGTCAGGGTATGGGAAAATGGGCCCCCACCTTCCCTCCCAGCCTGGGTGAGCAAAGCGGGACAGTGAGGAAGGCGTGAAAGCGCTATGGCCAAGTCAGGTCTCACATGGCCAGGATCGGTCATTGACAGTGTGTCATCACGCTCCTGTGCATATGCTGTCATTGGTTCTGACCAAGCGTGTGACCTATACCTTTTCAAGGGAGAACTTGAAGCCTTAGTATGTCTGCCCACTTGTGGTGTTGTGGTGGTGGGGGGGCTGTAAATGCTGATCTATTTATGTGATGTCAGGCATTCACCAGTGCTGCCGCAAAGAGCCATGACAAGCCAAGATTAGTGATTTGGGTAGCCATTTTCACCCCGGACCTGGAGGGCAGGTCTCACTCTCCATGCCAAACTCTGCTATTGGCCCCTTGTCACTCCATGAGAACACGAGGAACACAAGCGAACACAGAACTCACCAAAGTGCAGAATTTAACAAGTGCTGTGGAGCAGGACAAGCCAGCGGTCACAACCCACTAGTTTTAAAGAACCATGTTCCACCACAGGACTTGGACACAACACCACACATGGCATGGTGTCGGCAAACTCCCAAGGCAAATAATTAGGCAAGAGCTAGATGGTTCCATCAAAAATGCCATTAAGGCTGAATTAGACACCACAGTTATTGTTCCCCTTGCTCTGGTTCATGCTTAAATTTATTTTACTTGGCAAATGTTCACTGTATCCTTGTAAACCAAGAGCTTCTGGACTCTACTACTGAAGTGACACTTGACCCAATTCGGCCCTTCTACATAAAGACTAAACCCCAGGCAACACCTGTCAAAGAACCTCCCTGGGCCTATAACTGAAATTTGCCCTCCACCAAGATGGTCAGGGGCACTGTGGAAGTCAGGTGACTGGTTAAGTTAAAGATCCCGTTTGGGCCGTATGAGTGTAACCCTGCTTTCCACACTAGAGGAAGACTCCATGACTTCACACCCCCTAAGTTGACATAAAAGGCTCTCTTGACTTAAGGCACTCAATGGTCTCACTTTCACGTACTGAAGGCCCTAAAAGCCAAACAAAAAGATCAGCATGCCAGCCCCACAACCAAGGACCAGCCCAACATTCCCCAGCCCATATCCCCTGCCCACCTCCAGCACCCTTTAATACACTGTCACACCCAGTAAATTACAGGCGTGTACAGCCACAGTTCACGCTTAGGTGGAACCAGAGGGGCGATTATAAAGGGATCATTAAACCCTCTAGTTAAGATATTCCTTCTCTGTACAGACACTTCAAACGGCTACTTGAAGTTCCACTCCAAAAGGGCTTTATTTACATCTTTTATCCACTGTATCCATAGTACAGGAGAGACTTTTGAAGGACACACAGTTAACGATATACTTCAGTAACGTACATGAGGCCCTAGTGAAATGTTCATTAAACTATCTTCCTTTAATGAAGGTAAAAAAGAGAAACCAATACTTTTAATGGCACTTATTATATCTTATAAATGATTATATCTTATTATTATTTGTCTTAAGAAAGCATTATTCTTAAAAGACAGATAATGGAATAATAGATTCCTTATTCCACATGCCACTTGCTGAGAGAAGTAGGACCACCTGTTACTGTCCTTTAATATCATGACATTTTCAGACACTTTCAAACCACCTGATACTCTCCTTTAATATCATGCCTCGTTCACTGTAACTGTCCATAAATATTATGACACTTTCAAACTCTTTCACTATCGCCCTTTCCGCTTGCTTTTTGTTCTTTTTAAAAAAAGATTATATGGAGGTCATTATCAAAGTTAACAGGTACAGGAGCAGGACAGACATACCCTTCATCATGCTTGGTATACAGCTAATGTGTTGTGCAATATTAAAGTATAATCCATAGCACCCCATGAAGGCATTCTACATAACCTTAAAAGCCAAACTGGGTTATAAATCATTCCAGTACAAGCCATCCATAGTCTCACTGCCAGTGTCACCAGCAACAAATGAAAGCAAACTCACAGCTGCCCCCCCGCATCCCAGGTGAATGCAGGTGGCAAGAGACTTTACCAGGTCGGTAATACCACTCGGACACAGCCTCTTTTATGCCTGTAGGGACATTCAGACATATCTGCCCCTGTTACACGCAGGTTCCCCCAACACAGTGGGCGAAAACTATAAACATTCATTCTGTGCTTTCATGTTTCCCAGTACCAGCAGCCTAAAATGACACTCAGCACAAAGAGCGTTCAATATGTCCCAGAAGGCACCTAGGATGGCAGAAAAGGTCAACTGGTGATGTCATTCTTCACCAACAATACCTAAAAGGGGGTGAGCAGACTGTCCAAAAATGTGTTTGTCGTTCGTTTCTCAAGGGGCAGCTTTTCACTTGGCTGACCAAGGATGTTGGACAAACACTCATGTACCCTAACATGGGAATTCTGGCATTCATCTTAAGGACGGCTCATTCACGTTTGTTCTCGATACAGGCTATGCCAATGCCTGTTGATCTGCGACCTTGTGGTGAATGCCATGTGGAGTGCATGTTACAGCACAAATACAGCACAAAAAGACCTTAAAGCCACAAACTGCAGATATTGTCTTTACACCAAAACAGATCATCGTTGAGCTATCATTTCTGTCCAGGCAATATGGGGGAAGGAAACACAGACACCACATTCATATACCAGCAGCAAATAATAATCCTTCATAGCCGAGGGAAGGCTTCAATTATCCACTGAGTTTGTTACCACAGCAAATCAAATTTTCATGCAGCTGGGAAAACAACCTCTCCCGTGTCAGTTCACCAATTCACCAACCCTAGCAGATCACGTCAGAGATGCTGGGTCACCTCGAGGAACACTCACAGGGCACAGTCCGGAGGTAGAGGTTGTCCCGGATGGTCTGTTGGAGCTCGTGGTCCACGGAGCCCTTCTGGAAGCGGAGGTTGAGGTAGCGCCGGAGGTCTTTGTCAACGATGCCTCCTGCAGAGACAGATAACGAGATACTCTCAGTGGGGTACACCCAGGCTTCACTAATTGCTGTTTACTTTCCCCACTCCTTCAGCACCTTGACAACTGTCAGACCCAGGACAGGCGACAGAACAAACACATCTGTGGTGTAGAACCGGCTCAGGAAATGGCCAGCCACTCTCCTATTCTGTAATCCAGGAAAAGCTGCTCGTAGATATACCCTCCACCTGGTAAGCAGATACATCTATGCACACGACAAGCCAGGAGTGTGTTTGCTAAGGATGTGCTTGGGTACCACACACGTCCGAAAGCCAATCCCTGAGATGGGATGGGGGGGAGGGGGACTCTGCTCCCCAGCCCCTCCCACTACACCTCCCCATTACACTCCAGTGATGAAAATATGCGCTACAGACTGGAGATATCTCAGTGTACTACTTCAGCGGGAGAGGTGTGACTAGGGCATATATCTTTTGGGGGGGGGGGGTGCGGTTTGATGATAGAATAGGCATGTCTTATTTTATTTGCTAACAAACTGTATTTTACTATTAGATGAAAGACAGTTATAAGACGTGTGAGTCCCCTCCCACCCCCAGATGTGCAGAAGCGAAGCAGAATAATCGCTCAGCCTTTCGGGTTTAAATTATAAAACACTGCAACTGCCATCCGGCATGCGGAGAAACACGGACGCGATAAACACGGAGCTGCCAACCGCCGTCTTCTAACGAAGGACGTTCGTTTGAAACAGTACCTGGCGATCGATTCAGATGGCGGGACAAATCTCCAGCTACCAGCAGCGACGTCCGGATTTTATACTTCAAAAGACCAGTCGCGTCATCTTGACGACGTAAAGTGGCAAGCTTTAAAGCTTCACAGGGATATTTTTTTCTTTTTGGACACACAGCGATAATAAAATCTTTGGCAAGTGTTCCAGAAAGCAAGTTAAAGAGGCATGCTTTATATCATCCTATGGCAAAGACACACAGAAACACCCAGCACTCAACTGATGTTAATCCGAGGCATGTGGCAGAATAAATACATAGTGCCGCTATGCAAAGGTTAGCCTGGGAGCCGCGCGCGCATCCCGCGAGCCAAGCGCGCGCATCATTACATCAACAGTCTGCCGCTTTTCACAGGATCAATTAAAAGACGGGAAAAGATGCTGCAATGAAGCCAGGAGCTTCTCGCTGTCATCCCCACACACACGCACGATAAACATTAAAAGCACCCTCACAAAGGCAGCTGACGAAGCTCCTCTCCAGCTGCTACAGATGTTCCCAGCCGCCGGCCCGCGGCCACCGTTCTCTTCAGGTAAATCTCCGGGAAGAGCCGCTTAGATCGTTCCGTGGGTAACTCCCCTTCGGGTGGGAAAGGGAAGGGGACCCGCGCTCACGCCCCGGCGCCTTTCTCATCCACGAGTTGGTCTCCCCGACGAGGAGGACAGCCTGCCCTGCACGGCTGCTCGGGTACGCGGCGGAGAAGAGAGAGACGGGGGGGAAGAGAAGGAAAGACGGCGAGTGTCGGGGAGGCAACAGAGGAAGAAGCGCTCTGCCTAGGGGGACCTAGCGCTGCGATAGCCTGCATCTGATTGGATGGCCAGGCTCCCGAGGTCCTGGAGCTCCCCCTTTTGGTGGCTTTGGGCACTGCGACCGGCACGCGGTCCAATGTCCCGGCGTCGTGTGAAATCATCGCGCAGAGACGTCACTGGCATGTGTGCAAGTTTGTTGCCGATGAAGTCAGAAAAACCAGTGAGACAACACGCCTATGTGGGGGAAAAAAGCATTCCGAAAAAATGACGGGGCTCCTATGGCTGGAAAAGATTATTCCAAATCACAAATGCATCGCCTGGCATCCATTGGGGGGAGGGGGCAGCTTGGCACCCAGGGGACTGCCACCAGTATGGAGTAGGGGCAGAAGGTGACCCCTTGAGGGGGTGTACACCCCCATGGCAATGGCCAAACCACATGACATTAAGGCTGACCAGGTTGTGACCCCTGAAGCGCATGGGTATAGGAGTAACAGACAGAAAAGGGGTGACAGAGCGTGGCTCTGCATGCACACACGCACACACACACACACACACCTGCATACAGGAGCCATCCTACAGATCCAACTGAGACCTACGGCAGACCACAGGGTGGGCCCTGAACACAACGCAACTTGCTAAACAAATCAGTGGATCGCGGAGGTACAGCAAATGGAACCACAGAGGCACAGCCGGAGTCACCAGGGGCCCAGGGGATAGAGAAGCATCGCCAAGCAGGAGGAGCCAGGAGCGATTCCCCCAACGACCTCACACAGAGCAGCGCCGGCTGTTTGCTTGCTCACGTCTGCTGCTGCTGGCCGCTCGTATTTTGGGCGAAACCTTCCTTTTGTGTGTGTGCGTGTGAAACAGAGAGAGAGAAAGAGAGAGAGAGAGAGAGAGAGAGAGAGAAAGAGATACATCTGCCATACTGGAGGTCCTTCAAGCAGGAGACGGGGAACACCTCAGTTGTTGGTTATGTTTATTTCATCCCGATTGGTGGGGATTAGAGCACAGCACACGGCGGTGCTGCTGCCGTTTAACCGAGGCAGCGCTTGGATTCTTAAAGGGCCGCGCGTCGTCAGGGAGACAGCGGCCGCTTCGTCCCGAGAGCATCAGGACTGATGCAACTCAGCGAAACTCGCAGTTAAGGAGGGGTGAATCGCGGTGTCTTAACTGAGAACGATGGAGAATCTAAGCTTGTGCGGGCAGGGTTAATGATGGAAATTATCCCCCCCCCACACCCCAGGCACCACTCTTCCAAATTTAGACATTGCACAAGGAGGGGGGGGGGGGGGCACAGAAGGAACATCAGAGCTGGCTTTTCAGCCAGTAGAAAGTGTGTCACCAAAAAAATGCATCAATCCAAGGCTCCACGACACTTTCAGGGTAACGAAAACCAGGCACTCAATAGCCATCAGTGCTCAGATCTCCTCGATTCGAACCCAAGACCGATAGGGGCACTGGAGATAACACAGAATGCACCTGTTTTTCCTACAAGCAACAATCCTCGCACCCTTTGCACAGGAATTCCCCAATAACATGGCGAAAGAAGACGTGAGGTAGTGAAGCAGCTAGGTTGAGCAGCATCTGCCCTCCTGTGCAGGGAAGTGATGCTACCAACCATTAAATATAATGCAGCAGCCGGTCGTGTGTAACAACCCTACTCATCCAGCCTCACGCCCCCCCACATGTCGTCACTACAGCCCAGTAGCTGTTATAATCTGCAGACGTGCTGTTACAGTGAGGCCTCACCACTGTGTGACTGTGTGTGTGTGTGTGTTTGTAATTATTACATTGTGATATAACCTGTAACTTCTTAGTTCTGTCATTTGTTCAGTCCCCACAAGGATACCCTCAAATTTATACATATCTGTAAATTCAGTCAAAAAGCTAAAAATGCCAAAAGACTTGTATTTTGTTTGTTACTTATGGTTAAGGTTAGGGCTGAGTAGGGGTAGTCATCATTGGGATTAAGGTTATACCTAGAGAAATGAATGGAGAGTCCCCTTAAAGATGAATACGTGCGTGTGTCACAAATTCAAAGACAGTCAGACAGCTGTTTGCTATTTTCCTTCTTATCAGATAGAGAGGGACAGTCGCATTCAGGACAGCATCACCACCCCGAACACAGATTCCAGCCCCTTCCCATCCTCGCAGGAAGAATCGCCACATTTTTCCGGAGGCGACCTGACTCCATAATCTGCTCATCTCGGCAAACAGCTGGATCTGCTCTCTGCAGTCACACCCTGGCCCATCACACACACGGGCAGATTAAATGGAGGAGCTGCCCCCCTTCCCGCTCTCCCACCCATGCGGCCTGCACTTGCTGATCGCCGTGGAAACTAAGCCATCAGATGTACACCACAGGGAGCTTGACACCGCCTGCATGACAATACCGCCGCTGGGGGGGAGGCTCCACAGAAGACGTCCATGCTGGATTGCTGTTGAAGACCTAGCAGAACCTCGCGGCATGAGCCCCTACAGAGGAAAAAAGGCAGCCCCCACGCAAGACACCAAGAAACGAGCCAATGAAAGGAATATGCCGGAAATAGTAAAGGCAGTGTCCCGTAAAAGGGGCCCCCCACAGCATCCGCCCAAACCACAGATCCCTACTCATCCACAGTGAGTGTGGGACACAGGGGTGACAAAGAGCCGATATGCGACACAGCATCAGCGCCGCCCGTAGGCAGCCTGTTGATGTCCTGGTCAGATCGCGCCCGCAGCGAGTTAAAACGCCACGTGTGGCACCCCCAAGAGGCAGGCTTCCCCCGAGGGCGGGGAACTGTGACATCAGTGGGGGGAGTCCAAATGCCAGTGTGAACAGATACACACACTCACACATGCACATACACACAAACACACACCAGGGCTGCAAATACATCATTTCAGCATCGTCATCACGACGCACACATGCGCAATAATCACATCGCATTTGTCATCACTGCTTTGCGTCTGTTGACACAAGTCGGGGCAACACCACCAATTTATTTGACACACTCTATTGATAGATAATAAGTTCAATTTGGCCATCGTTCACTTTAGGTAATTTCAACTCGTTTTTTTGTTTTATACATTTTTTTTCTTGCGGGAATTTCACAAATTGCGATGTGATGTCATGCAGCCCTACGCGCACACACGCAAAGATACGCACACACACGCAAAGATACGCACACACACGGGATGACGGAGTCGGGAGGGTTTATCTGGCATGGGTTCTGTGATCTCAGCTCAAATTCAAAGAAAAATCAGTCATCGCCCCCCCCCACTCGATTACAGTAATACACATTCAAAAGAATGGGGGAGGGGGGCACTGGAAATTCTTCCCAGTGTGAAAGCAGGGGCGGCTGTTCAGGCGAGCCTATGAACGGGTTGCAGCCTCACAGGGACACAGTCAGCCCTGAGTCCATGGGGGGGGTGCTGGGATAAAGCAGACGTGGCCGGCGTGGGGCGTGGGTGTCTCGTTATAAATACAGCCCGCTTGTGAAGAAAGTGGGCTCCAACCGCTTCTAAGCTTCGATTCAACAACCACAAGCACAGGGTGTGCGATGCACCGGTAATCGCGCATAAACATACGCATACAAGTCCTCTCGTGTCGTAGTAAATGCATACCTATTACCCCCTGCTGTGCCAAAATATGGTCACCCAATCGAATATCACGCAGAGAGCAGGCAGGTGTTACCTAGAGAAAATAACGTGTAAATATGATGACATCAGGGTCGGGGAGCCAACGGCACGTCCCACAGAAGGCCAGGCTGCGTACCAAGAGTCAGCGAGGCGTAGACAGACACTTAATAAAGATCCCCTCTGCTCCCAGAGTGAGGGCACAGATGACAAAATTCACAAGTGAAAACACAAGGCTACGGCCAACGTACTTGATAGCTGTTTCTATTATTACAGAGATGTACAGGTAGAATGTACCGATTGGCAATACTGGAGAGCACGAGATGGGGGTCTGTGTTTGCAGGCTGCACCATGCAGCCAGTCTGCAGCTCTGTTTCATTTGGAGATCGTGGCGGGCGACTGGTAAGCTCAGGATGGCGAATCAAGCGAAGAGCAAAACTGATAATTTGACGCGACTGTCAACTGTGCTGCCAGATTACAGCAGATGTACATGAAACGACTGGGTGTGGAGAACTCAAAAGGGGAAAAAAAGGCAAAACCACAGGCAGGCATCACCAAATAATCACAAATGGGCGGCCGCATCGTTATACCTCACTCCAGTTAGCTGTCAGTTACGTTAATTATCCCGCTTGACTGACAAGGCACCAGCTCCGGTGATGACCTGGAAGAGGGGTGTAGACGTGCATTCACATGCAGATTCACCCTCAGAGACTTTTTTTTTTTTTTTTTAAATAAACAAACAAAAAACACCCTCACTTCACAGGGTGCCTCTGCGTTTCCAGCATGTTCTGTTCGGTGTGTCGGCTGTGTCCGCGCACCCTTCCCTCACAGAAAATCACAGTCACAGGAAAGAGAAGAGCTACTCTTGTAGAGCATTGTGTCATCAATACAATGGTTGTGTGTTCAAATCCCTGTGAGCACAAATAAATTATAACCCATCCCTGCCCTGTAAGTTGCTTTGAATAAAAGTATCACATAAATGAGTAAAATGTAAAGAGATCATGGATCATACAGAGAGCTTGTTATAAGTGAGATCAAAACACTACAGTTATGGCAGGGGTATAGAAATGAGACAAAACTGGCATTGAACCAATGGTTTGCGTTGCTTTGTTAGAATTTGTGTAGCACCTGCTCTGTAATTGCTTAACCCTATACCTGGGAATTCATTGTAAGCACACCCTAGCTGCCCTTATGCATAGTTAGCTCCTCAGTAGCACGTATGTTTGAAATGTGCCCCAATTGTACGTCGCTTTCGGAAAATAGCATCTGCTAAATGTGTAAATGCAAATGTAAATTGGATTTCATTTACAAAGTCATTCAGACAGGAAGACCCTAAGGCTATCATAGTCCAAACTGGCAATGTGGCAACATATAGTTCAATCCTGTAAAGAAAAAAAAAAATACAGGAATCCAACATCTGCATTGTCCACACACACATGGGCGCACATGGGAGTTTTACTTACATTAAAATGTTCTGAGGGCAGAATGAAAAATGACTGGTTCAGAAAGATAGCCAATCAGATTGTAGAGGAGGTGGGCCCATGCAACTACAGGAAATGACACCAATCAGATGTCTTGGTCCCGCCTCCTCTAGTTGTTCTAAAGCAGGGGTGTCAAACTACAGTCCTGGAGGGTCGGAGCACAGTTTTTGGTTTACCTTCATTTAACACACCTGATTCAACTACACACAGAGCTCATAAGCTAAATCGTTTGTGGTGGAACAGGGAAAGAGCTAAGGTACACAGGGCTCCGGCCCCCCAGGACTGGAGTTTGACACCCCTGCTCTAAAGCAATCGCTTTCCATTCTGCCCTCGTAACATTTTTGTGTAAAACTCCCAAGTGCCCCACACGCACACACACTCCCTAGACAAATTACAGTAGCATTTATAAGTTGTGTTTAGCAAAGCAATTTCCTTATATAAAGTAAAATGTCAGATCCTAACACACACATACTTAAATATTGTTCTGGCACCTTATGTGCGTCAGACTTGACGTCTCCTCATACGCTCACAAGCAATTATCCTGCAATAAACCTCCCTTCCCAGGGCAGAAAAACAGATCACAGCATCTTCCCTCGTCCATTTCTCAACCAAACCAGGTGCAGAAGATGCTTCGCTCACCCGAGTTGCCTGCTTGACACTCGATCTCTTTTTCCTCTTTAAGGAAGGTGCCTGCAGCCCCTGTTTACATACTCCACGTCACCTTCTCAGCTCCATGACCTTCGTGAAACTCCAGCAACTATACGACATCAGGCAGGGGGGTGGAGGGGAGCCAGCGGAGGAGTTTTTCCAGGCGTGTCCTACTGGGCGAAGTCCCCTGGCTGACCCAGGATGCGCTGGAGGGATCGGACCTCCCAGGTGGCTCGGGAATGCCTGGAGATCCCCCCAGGTCAGTGACCTTGGAAAAAGAGGTCCAGCCAGTATGCACGCTGCGACCACAAGCCAGGGAAGTGCTGTAAAGGTGGGTGGGTGGGTGGATGGATGGACGCATGGATGGAAGGTTATAAGTCCTACACTGAGAGAGGGGAACGTCATCTCGCAGAGTCTGATCTCAACTGCCACTGGCAGATCAGCCCCCTGCTGCTGAAGGACATGAGAGCGGCAGGGGGCTTTGGTTCTGAGGTCAGTCACATACCAAGGGAAATACGAATCCACTCCTAATCCTAGTGAGATCAAAAGCATGGTTTTTCTGGGAAGTGCACATGAAGAAATCTGAAGAAACTGAGCTCATTGAGATGCCCCTCAGCCTCCATCGTCTCGGAGCTGGATTCCGCCGGCTGCACTGCGCCCTCGCCACGACCCGCCCCTCAGACGTAATTCGATCATCTCCCTGGGTCACTCCCTAATTCTCCAGGACCGGCAGACCATCAGCGCCGGCATGATTAACAGGCCGGCATGTGGGACACGCAGACCGCTCTCGCGCTGATATTAATGTGCGACATCACTGCGCCTCGCTCGCTGACATGCGGCTTTTATTATTGGGGCGCGGCAGGTGAACATTATTGCGCTACGCAAATCGACTGCACCGCTCGCATCGAGTCTGAGAGATGCCCGGGACCGCAATAAAGGCAGATAGCCGGGTATTAAAGCGCAATCGTGGCCGGTTCTTCCTCAGGCTGTATTCCAATGTCTTTGGCAGGGAGCCGACCCGAGAAGGAGCCTCGCTTTCAGGAAACCAGCATTAAAATAAAATAAAAAAAACCTTTAAGAAAATGACAGATACAGGGGCTCTTTAATGCTCGGGGTTACCCAGGCTAAAGCCCAGGGGCCTCTGCTAACTGTGTTATGGGATTGCCCCATATTGAAAAATAAAATGATGTATCTCGCTTTTAACCAATATGTGACGCTTCACCATCAGGGGCCGCTGGCCATGTTAATGCGCCTCTGAATATAAAACATCTACATCCCTAAGTAGGTCTTCACAGACATGCAGAGTACTGCACACTAACAAACAAAAACATATGTGCTCTCACTTATGTCGGTGTTAACAGACAGAACCAATGTGATCACGAGTGGCACACGGCACGAGGTGCCGGATAGCTCACACACGGACATAACAAGGCACAGTGAGGTGACAGACGTGCCAGGGGAGAGCACACGGGACTGACATGTAGACACGCATCCCACTCGAGAAAAGGCAACAGGTGAGAATACACACTCTTGCCCATTAAACCCACCGAGAACAGCACTGCTGCACCAGGACCAATCAGAGTCAGCAGCCCCAGCCCCACCATCCAATCAGAAGTGACCCCCAGAATTTCATGCTGAGGTGTTGTCGGCACATTCCCCACAGAGGCCCTGAGCTGCTGTCACGCTGAAAATATTTGTAAAGGCTTTAAGCTCAACACAAGGCTATTCATGGGAGGGAGTTCAGGTGTGTTTTACAAGTGGAATTCTGGACAGAGCATACACAAAATATAATCAATGCAACTGTCAGCGTGTGCTTTGCTGTCAGGGGTCCTGCAAGCCGGCAGTCAGACCTGCTGGTAGAGTGAGGATTGTTAAAAAGTACAGAGTCTCAAGCTAAGCCAGCATGAGTACAGTAGAATGTCACTGCAAAATGAAGATGGGGCTCTCGCTCCGCCCCTGGCAACCCCGACTTAATCACAACCTTCAGACGAGGCGCATCAATACGCCAAAAGGACACGAGAGCACACGCTTACAGATGAGATGCTCGCTCGTTCTGGACATAGCCAGCCACCCACCCCCTGGATGAAGCGCAGTCCGGTCGACCCTCCCAGGCTCTGACGTTCGCGGTTCGGTGTCGTTTTTCTGCAGCTGTCAGGAGGTTAATTAAGGGTTCAGCGACAGCCAACTTCAAGACTCCAAGCAATTAAGACGGACAAGACCCCTCCCTACAAAGAACAGGGAAAGCAGACTACAGTAATGCCTGCAGCATGGACGGCTGCGGGGGCCACACCCTATGTCAGGGGGTGCAGACCCAGGAAGGAGCTGGAAATCAGAGGGTGACTGCTGTTTCGCACGGCCCGGAGCTCCTGCGCTACTATGTTCTTTGAAAGATCGTTCATGGGTTCATGGTGTCCTCGTATACGGCCTTCTGCAAGGAGCAGAACGATCCCGGATGGATCCCAAAACACCTGGCCAAAAATTCACCCAAACACACTGCTTTCCATCTTTCTCCAGTCACACTGATGCAAATTCCAGCACATCCGGACGTGGAGATGTGTGTGCTTCGGTTTGCGCGCATTTTCAGATATTAGCTCATGTTTTTTTACGAGTGTGTGACTGTGTCAACAGATGTAGCAGAACCAGAAGCCCAGTCTGTGTGACTGTGTGTGTGTGTTTGTGAACAGACTGCCTCATAAATCAGCCCACAGGACACACGGCTCCTTAAAAACTTTCACCCAGAATCCTCAGCTCCTCCCACCTTTCACTCCGTGCTCCACCCAAGTTGGCATCCATACATCCATGGTCCTATTGAGCCCATCAAATTTACCTTTGTGCCCACATCATGGCAGCTATGAACAGGTTTAATTGGACCTAATGTCAGGGTGAGGTTTTGCTGGTGGCCCAGTCACTGAGTTAGTGTAGAGGCATATGACAAAGTCTGTATCTTGGCTAACATTCAGATCCAAAATGCTGGAGTTACTCGATTTTGCTTGTCATTAATCTGCTTACCACTCTCACCCCACCTGGGGACGATGGGAAAGTAGGAGGGGCTAGACAGCTGCACCAGTCAACTTATCTGTATGCAGATGAAATGAATATCAATGTGACAGGTGATATTGCCTTGGTCGAGCCAAACTGCTGTCATTTCTGATAATCCTCCTCCAGTTTATCCGATGCAGGCAGGAAACGCAGAACAATGCTCCGGGAAAGCAGAGTACTCATTTAAATATCGTGCCAGAAAACAGAAGAATATAACCAAAAACAGGAGAAGAATGAAGGAGACCCACGGTTACGCTGGTCTCTGCAGAAAGGCTAATGGCCGCCCCCAAATGACACACAAGATCAAAAAGCAATGCGCTCCAGCCCCTGTGGATTAAAGGCAAGGGATCCGTCGTATGCCGTGACAAAGAGGTCCTCAATTATACTGCTCGGAGTGAGCAGCTAATCAGATCAAACGGCAATCACATCGGGTAAGGTGAGCAGCCAATTAGATCCAGCGCTAATTATATTGCATTCGGTGAGCGGCTAATCAGATTGGAGGCAAGGCAGCTAAGAGAAGAGCTCTCAAGGTCAGTAAGCATGATACCCTCATGCTGTGAAGCAGTCATGTGACCCATTGAGGAGGTCATACTGAGGAACTGTGGGTTTACCATGGGTAGGCCCCCTCACGTCTTTCTTTTAGTGATGGTTCCTGAACACTGTCTCAATGCCATTGAATTTCACATGGCAAAGGTTAGCTTAGCCATTTTAGTGAATTTGAGATTATGGGCTTAATTTTATCCAGCTGCTCAATGCACGAAAGACCTCACAATTTTACCTTTCACCGCAATAATTATTCAGAATGTACAACATCGTCACACGTGCACGTTTTAAAAGGTACCACAGGATCGACGATCCGGGATGTAAAGTCAGCCGGTCTGACCCATTGAGGAGGCTGTGTGTCCATTAGTCAGCATCCAGGTGAGAGTGGCTTTGTCGGCACAGGAAGACATAGAAGCTGCCTGGAGTACAGAACGCAATGCTGAGGGTCTGCTTCTCTGTGAGGAACGGGCACCTCTCCCCCATAAGACATCCCATTACTCTGCATTTTTCTTGGCGGCGCCAGAATCTCCCACAAGTGGAGATCTGCTGACCGGGGCGGCTGTGACACATGGCTGGTTTATAGCATTTTCTGTCCAGTGTTCGCTTGGCGGATGGGTAAGTTTCCCGTTTGGTCAAGCCCGAAATGATTCACCTCTGGATGAAAATGTGCGCCAGTCTTCCAACGCAGCACATCTGGATTCCATTGCATTTCAAGGAAAGGCGCGGATGTGACAGCTACGGAGACTGCTGCACAATCCACAGACACCCCTTGAAGATGACGCCTTCCCTTCATATTCGCACGTCAACATCACCTGACACCAGCATCCCTCGTCACTAAGGCTCCTTATAGACACGCTACAATAATCACCCCCCCCCCCTACCCCCCCCCCCAAAATCAATGACATCTTGCTATAAAAGTCCAAACAGTGGATGAAGGCAGTGGCCAAACATTTCATCATCACCATTTATTCATCCATCCGTCTTCTAAGCACTTGTCCTGGTCAAGGTGATGGGCAGCCCTGAAGCCTATCGCTGGATGGGATGTGTCACAATTTATTAAGACGTTCATTTTTATCATTCATAGTGATACAAAGGGGTAGATCACCATATTTCCAACAGTCAATTATCTAAGCAGAATAAATTACAAAAGCAATATAAGCCTACTCCAGTGCAGCCAGCAAGATAATAAATTAAATGGAAAGTGACACTGTACATGTAAACAATACCACACTCATAAAACACAAAAGTTAAAATGACAGGACCTGAGAGCTCTCATTACCAGCTGCGACACATTAAACCTTAATCAAACAGATGGAGACCATGACCCCTCCCTCCCACATCCTTCCAATCACCTTGCAGATACTCTGAGCCACTCCTTTTATATATTCCCATGCAGCCCCGCCCTCCCACCGTCCCTCCAATCACGCTGTAGATACTCTGAGCCACTCCTATTATATGTTCCCATGCAGCCCCGCCCCCATGCTGAAGCATCTCACTCATACCTCACACTAACCCAAAGGCCCATCATCCTCCTAAGTGTTATGGTAATGAAAAGCAGGAATCATATCAGTGCCTGGCATTAAGTTTGCTGGCCCTCGCTAGGGGTGGATTCCATAGCTTATCCATCCCGGTACACATGATCACCATCTTAATTAGTTATGTGTTGAAATGCTTTTGCTGCAGAGCCTGACTGCTCTCCTGCAACTCACTATTGCCTTCTATAGGAGGACTGTAACTGCTTCGTAATGGATGCCCAGCCCAATCGGATCAAAAGATGATTTGTTCTGGATTTTCACAGCTTTTGGAGACCAAGACGTTAATCACATTTCTGTGTTTGCTCTGCAGCGGCCGTATGGACAATGTGTGTGTGTGCGTGCCTACACTGTCCGTGTGTGTCACAGCAGCATGGGCGGCTGATGATGGCCCAACACCATAGCCCCCCCCCCCACCCCCACCCCAACCTGCCTGGCCGGCAAGCAAATTACACTGGAACACCAGACCCAGGGAATCAGCTTTCTGGAAGCCCTTTCCAGCAGCAGCAGATGGGCTCAGGACAAGCCAAGCCCACCATCCCCCAGACTCATGACAGACAGTCCCAGCCGCCGTTCATTCTCTGGACCCAGCCAGCAGCAAGGGGGCATGCGTGGTTAAGCAGGAGAGTAACGCAAAATCCACCTGGGGGCCAAAGTGATGCTTCCATGCTCCCAGAAGTCAGTCTCCTTAACATACACAATGCTCATGACATGTGACACCCACACCCCTCCCCCATGTCATGTGACTCCCATGTCATGTGACTCCCATGTCATGTGACTCCCATGCCCCTCCCAATGCCCCTCCCCCACCTTCACCTCACTAGCCTCCCTGACATACATGATGGCCATGTTTTGAGATGCCCATGCCCATAATTTTTTCGCTTAGAACTGAGATCACAATTTTTTTTTCTCAAATTTAAATATTTATTGTACTCAACTGCAAAAGAAAACAAAACACGATTGTCCTAAACATATGATTCATGCAGGACGGGCATATCAACTTCTGGCAACAGAAAGGAAATGCTCAACTGGCCGTTCAGTTAGGGTAACCAAAACAGCCGTACCGAAACTTACAGTGGGGAACATCTTTGGTACTTCTGTACTTTGGGGTGGAACTTGAAATGCTTTAAATGTCAAACGCAAATAGCAAATAGCCTGCCTCTGAAACTGAATACAACACTGTCTTGAAAACAGTTGCGCACTCAGAAACAACGATAAACAGGGTAAAAAAAAATTATAATAATAAAAAAATAATAATGGATGCGTGGACAGATGAAGTGATGAAAGCTTTAACTCTGATCTGGTCAGAAGAATCAGAGATCAGGATAGCATAAAAGAAATAAAGAATTGCAATGTGATTTTGTTGTAATAAACATTGGAGAATTTATAAAACAAAAAAGGAGTTCAACATAAGTTTACCCACAAGCCCATCACAGACCCGTCTAGGAGTGATGTAAACACCAAGGATGAAAATGATTGCGATCATTTTGGAGAATGCATGCAGCACTCATGCAAAAGCAGTGCAGGTAACTTTAAACCCATTTTTAAACATATTAGATTAGATTAGATTCAACTTTATTGTCATTACACATGTATAAATACAGGGTAACGAAATACAATTTAGCATCTAATCAGAAGTGCAGAGAGTAGCAAGTGCAATATGTACAATTTGTACAGTCAAGAGAGTGTGTACAGTGGTGGGAATAGTTATGTACAGATTATGTACATATACTAGATAATCTTCCATCCATCCATCCATTGTCCAATTCGCTTATCCTACTGGGTTGCAGGGGGTCCGGAGCCTATCCCGGAAGCAACGGGCTCGAGGCAGGGAACAACCCCGGACGGGGGGCCAGCCCATCGCAGGGCACACTCACACACCATTCACTCACACATGCACACCTAAGGGCAATTCAGCAACGCCAATAAGCCTCAGCATGTCTTTGGACTGTGGGGGGAAACCGGAGAGCCCGGAGGAAACCCCACGACGACACGGGGAGAACATGCAAACTCCACACACATGTGACCCAGGCAGAGACTTGAATAATTAAAATTGCAAAACTTGACCAGCTTTTTTCTTCTTATGACAAGTAAAAATGTTTTAGCAAAACCTAAAATCCCTGCATTATAATGTCTGTATACAGAATTGACAGTGAGAAAAAGCCTGATCTTAATCTAGCTGACTGGCGAAGTAAGAATTGTGCACGTACAACATGCAATGTTGGTATTAATATCGCATAACGGCCAGCCCTATAATATACTACAGTCATTTTTCGAATTCAGTACAAAATACCTGCCTTGCGTTGTGATGTCATTCAGCGCTGGCATCAGTATTTATGCCAGTGGAAAACCAACACCGTGAAGTACCGTACTTTTGGTACTTTCTTGAAGTACCAAAGTAAGGTATGTGGTGCAGTGGGAAAGAGAATGCGCCATTTTAAGAGAATGCAGAATTATGGGATGCTTGAGACTCTCTGGGGAAAAGTCGGAGCGCTTGTTTTGATCCAGTTAGAAATGAGATGGCATGGAGGTGTGAATCCAGTTCGCGGTTTTTTATGATTTATTGTGCATCCCTATTACAGACCCACTGTACATCCCTCCAGCAGGACCGAAGTACTGGCCCAGGAAAATGGCATTTGGCCCCCACCCTCAGAGAGTTATAAAGTCTTCCCACTGCATGTCACGTGGCGTGTGCCACACCCCCGGCACAGACGGTAAGTCCACCACTGTCATGTGTCATCCCTTTCCGAGGCTCCGCAGGAGGTGACGGATGTTAAATGAGCATATAGCCCTGTATCTATGGGGGTGGGGGTGGGGGTGGGG